AATCCCTCAGCCATGATGCATGAATTTCGACTCCCTGAATTCCCCAGTAAGCATGCATGAACTTCAATTCCCAGGATTCTTCAGCCATGATGCTGGCTGAGGAATTCTGGGAGTTGAAGTCCACACCTCTTAAAGCTGCCAACTTTTCAGAAACACCAATTTAAAGGCTAGCCTGCTGGAAAACAGAGTTGCATTAGGATGAAACCTATCTCCCCCAAAATTTCACTGAAGATTTTAAGGTATATCATGTCTCTTTTAGGGGCTCACCTGCAAATCGGGGGACCCAGGAAAGGCAATGGGTGGTTTAAAACTCCCGTTCCCCCATTTTTGCAAAACTTGCTGCCTCCCTCCAGGACATGTTTTATAAGATATTCTGGCTTTCTGTATTTCATCACCTGGAGATGTTTTTCTGTCTCTTAATTACAAGCTTGCCAGATGTTTGTCTGGAACGCCACGTCGCTTCTTGTTGGACCCAAACCAAGATTTGTTGGCAAGGGGAACTGAAAACAGCTTGTTTCCTGCCACACGTGAGGTGGAGTTATAAATTCTGAGAGGCAGCCTGAACCGGCGAGCCGTTCTCTAGCAAGAGACTGAGCGGAGCAGAGAATTGCCAAGTTGGGAGGGACCCCCAAACATCATCTAGTCCACCCCCGCAACGCGGGAACATCACTTCAGCCATCCTCAAGACCGTTCGGACTCTTCTTTCAAACCCCTCCAAAGTTTTGAAGGAGCTTTTAATGACCAGAGTCCCATAGCAGAGGACTTCTGATTTCTAATTCTCAAATTGAAATGTCCCTTGAGATCATCTAGTCCAACCCCCCGCTCATTAAAGGAACCCTTTGTAGGGCAGAGGGACGGTGTAAAAACCCAATAAATAAAATAAATATCCATGATAAAGGATTATCTGGGCTGTACCAAACCCAGGTCTGTCATAATGGTCTTCCTAGGTAGTCCTCATTTTACGACCAGTGGCTTAGCAACTGTTTCACAGATGGATTTCCTCTGAGTAACTTATGACCTTTCTAAAACAATTTAAGATGGCCAGGCCGGAAAAATAGATTCGCTTAATAACCAAAGCACTCAAGAACTGCTTCAAATCTGGTCACAACATGACTCGATATACAACCGCAATGACCGCAATACCAGGTTCAATTCCAGTCGTAAGTCAAGGACTTCCTGTGTCTCAATTATTTCTTGCCAATGCTGCTTTTATGCCACTTGCGTTGTGATGACTCCAAGCTGATGACTCTTAAACTTTCCGTTGCTAAGTGAGACAGCTGTCAAGTGAATTTTGCTCCATTTTACGACATTTCTTGCCATAGTTGTTAGGTGAATCACTGCTATTGTTAACTTAGTCACACAGTCGCTAAGTGAATCAGGCTTCCCCATTGTCTTTCATATCAGAAGCTTGCAAAAAAGGATCACATGTCCTCTGCAGCCGTCATAAGTACGAGTCAGTTGACACGGCGTCTGATCATTCTGATCTTGTGACCACAGGGATGCTGTAACAGTTGTTAAGTGTGAAAAATGTTCATATCTCGCTTTTTTTCAGTGCCATCGTAACTTCGAGCAACCACTAAACAAATAGTCGTAAGTGAAGGACTACTTGTGGTTGAAATAATGTAAATTCTTACCAGTTCTTCCCTTCTCTCTCTCTCCCTCTCCTCCTTCCTTTTCTCTCCCTTTTTGCCACTTAACAGTTTTGCTAGTCACTGATGTTTAATAAGTAATATCCATTTCCCCATTAAAAATTATTTTATTAAATATTAATGTTGTAATAAGATTAATAATTTGCAATAGATTCATAATAAATAATGCATTTTTTTTCTAGCTGAACCAAGGATGGGGATGGTTGCTCGTTTCAAATTCAGGGCTAACTGGCTAAGCAAACTCGATCCTCAACTTATGACCGTAATGGAGTCTGGGATTTCCATTTTGAGTCATAAGTCGAGGCATTCCGTGACCCAGCAAATACAATTTTATGACATTTTTGGCAATGGTCATTAAGTGAATACGGTAGTAGTTAAGCACATCGATGCATTCTGTTTATTTTTTAAAAAGGAAAAATAAATAAAAAATAAATAAATAGAAAAAATAAATAATGAAAAAATGAATAAAAATTAATAAAAAATGTGGTACATGATCGACTGTATGCTGGCCTGAAAGCTAAGCCGATTACCAAGCACCTAACATTGGTGTCTATTTGTAGGTAAAGCTGCCCCACAGGAAACAAGGAGTTTCACTTAACGACCGCCGTAAAACAGGCCGGAAAATATTCTTGTCATGATTTACAACCATAATGACTAAATACTTTTTCTAAGAATGCCGCTATTTTGCTAATGTAGATCAGAGAGGAGCCTATGGATTGCTTGGCTGCTGACGCCATCTTGACTTTTTTGACCTCCTTGTAGGCAATGCCCTCCGGTTCCAAACCAGACTTATTTTCCATTTCATGCATCCTTTTAATATTCATTTGTTTTTCTTGTCTTTGCAGATCCAACCTCTCTGCGCTTAGTCCTCAACTCACAGCCACAACTGAGCCCAAAATTTCCATTGCTAAGCAAGACAGTTGTTAAGTGAGTTTTGCCGCATTTTACAAACTTCCTTGCCACAGCTGTTAAGTGAATCCCTGCAGTTGTTAAGTCAGTCACATGGTTGTTAAGCGAATCTGACTTCCCCGTGGACTTTGCTTGTCAGAAGGTCGCAAAAGTGGATCACGTGACCCCGGGAGCACTGTGACCATCGCAAATAAGGGTCAGTTATCAAGCGTCTTTTTATCATATGACCATGGGGATGCTGTCGTTAAGTGTGAAAAAACATGTCACCTTTTTCAGTGCTATTGTAACATCAAACGGTCACTAAACGAATTGTTGTAAATCAAGCACTGCCTGTATTTCCTTTATCCAAAGCAGAATTTAACCGGCACAAACTAAATTTTCCATTCTTGCATTGCTCAGCGTCCTGTATCTCTTTGGCTTTATTTAATTTGCTAATTAAGCAAATCACCCAAAAGCCCTCCTTAATTTCGGGATGTAGAGGGATCCAGAGATCTGTTGGCTCATGCCAACCCTCGATTTTGGCTTTCTTAAAGTTTCCATCTCTCCCAAAATCAATTGGCGGATAAAAAGACGGAAGCTTTTAATGCCTAATTTTCTTTCCTGTTTTCTTTCCTGTTTCATTCCCAATTCCCCTTTCTTCACCTCCATCTGTGTTAACTGCGTTTCCAACACAAACCAACATTGGCCAGCTTTGCAGCTGAGCCTTCGCACATCTGCATCTTTCTGATGGTGATCAAGCTTTTGCAAACACCAGCAGGGTTTTTTTATTATTATTATTAAATCTGGCTGAAATTAGGCCTTTTTATTCGATGTTAACTGCATTTTTGATCCAATTCCCCTTACCAGAGGATTTAATTTTGCAGTAAACAAACTACAACTTAAAAAATAAAAAATAAACAAACCAACATTTTGGGGAGGAAGGAATTTTTTTTCTCCACCCCTACAATCTTCAGCCTCCTTCCACGATCTTGGAAGAGGATTTTTGGTGGGCATACATGCAGATTTATGTAAATCAAGCAGAATTGTTTGTGCAGGCAGCCTGAGGCACCGCAAAGGATTATGGGAGTCTAGGCGGAAGTCACCCAGAAGGCAGAGGGTGTGTGTGTGTGTGTGTGTGTGTGTGTGTGTGTGTGTGTGTGTGTGTGTGAGAGAGAGAGAGAGAGAGAGAGAGCATTTCACTCAGGGCTGGTCAAAAAAGTCAAAATGGCAGCCCCCAACAGTACAATGGACTGCACACTTTTTAATAAATGTGAAAATTTGGAATATTTTGAGCACCTGCTGCTGATTTCTGCTTCCTCCATGAAACTAAACTAAAAGGCAAGGAGAAGTTGCTTGAAATCTGATTTTTTGGGACCCCACCCTCACAAAGCCGCAGGAACGATGCAAGCAGTCCTCAACCTACGACCAGTTGATGAGCTTCAGGTTTAAGGTAGTCCTTGACTTACGACCATTGGTTTAGCAGTGGTTCTAATTTGCAACAGCACTGAGAAAAAATGATTTTTTTTCTTCACACTTATGAGGCTGTTGCAGCATCCCTGCGATCACGTGATGAGAATTCGGAGGCTTGGCAACTGGCTCGTACTTAGGACGGTCGCAGTGTCCCGGGAGTCACGTGATTCCCTCTTTTTTTTTTTTGCCGAAGAGCCAAGTCGGGGGAAAGCCGGATTCGTTTAACGACCGTGTTCCTTATAACTAAATAACTGCAGGTCCCTGAGGGTTTCGACGGCAAGAAGTTGAGGAAGCGGCCTGTTGGGAGCGGGTCGGGTTGCAGGAAGAGTCGGAGGCGGCAGGTGGGGCTTTCGGGGCGAAAGTTGGGGAGAAGCGACGCGGCCGGAGGAAAGAAACAGCAAGAGAGACCCTGAACGAAGAACAGCGCTGAAGAGGAGGACGGAAAGCGGGCGGCGGTCGCCCTCTAGTGGCCATCGCCTGCGACTTCCTCTTCCTCCTGGACGGCCGGCAGGGAGGCGATGGGTCGCGCTTCCAGCTGCCCCGAAAGAGTCGGGAGGCTTTCGGTGGAGCCTGGAAGAGGCAGAGAAGCAGGAGAATGAAGGACAGGGAAGGAAGGGAGGGAGGGAAAAAGGAGAGGAGGGGAAAAGGAGAGAGGGAGGGAGGAAGAAAGGACTGAAAGGGAGGGAAGGGAAGAAGGGAGGGAGGGAGAAAAAAGGAGAGAAAGGTTCAAAGAAAGAGGGAGGAATGGTGAATGGGAGAGAGAGGAGAGAGGGAGGAAGGAGAGAGAGAAAGGGAGGAAGGACCATGAAAGAGAAGGATGGAAGGAAGGAAGGGAGGGAGGGAGGGAGGAGAGAGGGAGAGAGGGAGGAAGGAGAGAAAGGGAGGAAG